TGCTAAGGAGAAGCGATACATTTGAACCCTGAGAAGCACACTATTGTAGATTGAAAACAGCAGATGATATTTATTGAACCGACCTGTGTGTAATTCTAAAAGCTACGCAGCCACAGTAACGTTTCACTTTTGCAATAAAAANGGGACAATTGGCGCTACCTGAAAAATAACTGCCGTCCTTGGTCACATGACATGACATTTAAAATACCGCGTGGAAAGATAGCGTATAACACTAACGATGCTAGAACGCATGCGTCTTACATGTTGAGTTCTACCATAAGGAGAACCACTCAACATTTGTACGTGATTCCGTATGCAATGTATCCTCCACCTAATATGGAATCATTATTTGAAGCAAATTTCAGTCAGAATTCTACTAAAACAATTAGATTATTCGCTCTCGATTTTTATGAGGTGATAGTTGATTCGGCCTTCGGCATCATCAACTATCACCTCATAGAAATCTCGAGCTCATAATCTTATTGTTAAATAGTGGTATAAAGTAGCCTACGTGTAGCCGTACCCACCCCCCGAGGAAAAACGTTTTCCTCGGGGGGTGGGTACGGCTACACGTAGGCTAGGTATAAAGGCACTATCGCCCCGTTGGCCGTTCTGCAATCTCGATGCACTATTGCGTGACAAGCCGAGAAACTATTGAAGGCCTGGGGAGAGCAAAGTGATATTCTTGTCACGCGGTTGCATGAACTAGACAACTGGTTGTAGAGCGATGTAGAGCTTATAAATTTCGGGGGCATTTTCGAAGAGTAATCGTGCGGCCATGGCTTCAGTGACATTAACTAACCGGTAAGTTAATCTGTTGGTTTCAAAGTGTTCAAAGTAGGAGGTAAGATGGTAAATTTTCGAAAATTTACTTCGATGCAATTCCATTATTATCGCTGCAGATGAAAGAGATGTCCATAAAGCTTTGAGATAAAAGAGGTTTCAATGTACACTTAAGCTTTGTCTTGCTAACTTTATTACACGTGTGAGTAGTTTCGCTAGAAGTTTCTCAAAGTTTAAGCAGCAAAATCAGGATTAATGCGTGCGCAATCCATATGCATTAGTCATTTACTAAAGGGCAATTTCGAACTATTGTTTGTCTCCCCTGAGAGTTCCTATTACCGGAGTTGACTGTAATTTTGGAATTAGGGGTTTATTTGTGAAGGAAACTATAAATCAGGAGATTTAAAGACTGACCCCCAAATCCATGACCAGTAACATCAATGATTAATCAATGGATAATCATTAATTAATAGGCTGATTATAAGTCATTGATTATTGTTGATGATTAATAAGTAATCAATGACTAAGTGATGACAAAGAGGCCAAAACCTTTTGAGACTTATAAATCATTCATTGATGTCATTGATTGATTGATGCTCTGTTACTTATTGAGTACTAGAAGAAAGCTTTCAGCACTCTGTTTGCCAAAAATAAGTTCACAGCTTTTGTAAGGTTCAAAACGTAATTATTATGCAAAAATCTCAGATACAAAAATTTAAGCTGCACAGCTGTAACAAATTGTTTCATTATAACTGACTTCCTTGTTATAAATCCTTGTTATAAATTTTTCACCAGGGGTCCATTTAATAAAACTTTTACACTTGTAATCTTCAAGTCGGACCATTGTATTTTTACAAGCACAGACAAAAATGAGTTAAATAAAAATTGTTACAAGTCCAGGTTACAAGTGTCTGACTTATAATTACAGGCATGGTGCTACACATGTAATAGAAGGTGAGAAGCAATTATTTTATTAAGACTTTTACAAGGAGTCGGACGAGTTTTATAAACCTGCGAGCCAGCGAGCCATACGAGCCAAAGGGCAAGCCATGCGAGCCATGCGAGTCATGCGAGCCCTAGTAAAAATGTTAAGACTTTTTATTTGTTACATTTACATTCACATGAGAACAAGAACAAGGGCAACGGAACAAGATGAATAAGATCGCAATATTAAATTCTTGCAATATTAAATTCTAAGGGAAGGGACAACCACATGCAGCAGTCAGCCAACC